GTCCTAATACCAAGACCTCCTAGATGAAGTGGGGCTCCAGGATGAAAAAAGCTAATGCAAGTTCAATAAAATGAAGCTGGTGGCAAAGGGATGCTGCCTCAAAGAGAAACCACGTAAAAGGAAAGGTGTATGTGTTGGGGGAGGGGGCTGTGAAAGATTCCTGCAGGACATGATGAAGGATGCAGGAATGATGAAGGAGCAAAGGACCCAAGCTGGGCGACACAGAGGAAACCACCACAGCCAGAAATGAAAAACAGGTCAGGTAAGAGGAAGGCAGGGAAAAGACAGAAGGATCCAGACCTCAGCATCCCCAGCTGTAAAGTGTAAACAAGAGTAATGCCTATTTCATAGAGCTGCTGTGATCACAGGACATTAGTGAACACAGGAGATGCTAGGCGGAGCACCTGGCACCCAGCACCAGCTTCTCTGCCCTCTATGCCAACGGGAATCTGAAAACCCAGAGCTTCAGACAAGACCTGGGAACAGCATGGTATCACTGCGGGCCCCACGGATAACTGGAGCTTAAGAGCAGAAAACGAGGCCCAAGAAAGAGTTAATTCTGGTAAATTAACCAAACTCCAGTTTCTGCCTCAATAAAATGCAGACCAGAACCACTCTGCCTGCCAGTTGCTGGACTAACGATGATGACCTCAAGTGCTCAGCACATAGCCGATGGATGCACACCGGTGCTGGCACTATTGCACTGGCGCTACCACACGGGGCCCACGGTACAGTCTTCGTTGGGTCCTCTCTACCAGCTGGAGAGGCTCCAAGAGGAGAAGTGTGTTTTATTAAACGGAGCTCACACTCAACTGAGAAGATGGAACGATTCAGCTGTGAAAGATTCACGTTGAGAGTGAACTGAGGGGTGGCATCCAGAAGGGTGAGCCACCACCAGACACTCACTGAGCTGCCCCAGGGCAAATGACACCAGGGAGCCACTGTGGGCAAAACCTATGGAAAGAACTCTATGAAGAAGGCTTTCCTGACCAGAGAAAGCCATGGTTCGAGGCACCAGGCAAAGGTCCAAGGCTACCTTGACACCCTCACGGAGGGACTCATGGAGGCTGCAGAGAAACCATGCATAAGCAAGAACTGGGAGTCCAGACAATGGCCAACAGAAAGAGGCTTCAGGCTGCAGTCTATAGCTAGTCAGTAGTTCATGACCATGAGAACACTCGATTTAAATCTCAAATATGATCCTCTGTGAAATTATACATTGTTCATGACTGTATTCATTACACATAAAAACTTAGAGGTTTCTCTCCAGAGCGTGTGTGCAGATCACGTCTGCCACACTTCCTGGGATACAGGAATTTTCAAAGGTCATTTTTTATAAATCCAGATCTTTGCTTTTTGTGCTATCTTTAGATTCTAGGCCTGCATAGCATGTAACCCCACTGAAGCAGCACAGGAAACAGCTCTTGAATAAATGAGAAGATGGAACTCTCCTACATAAAGTAAATGTTCAGAGGGCCTTAGAGGCCACCTGCAACTGAAGTCGGGGACTTGCTGAGGTCACAGGAGAGAATTAAAACAAAAGACAATGAGAAAGTCTCAAGAAGATTTACATTTCTATAGAGGAGCTCCCCCAAAGCACGAAGCCCCTCCCTTTATGACTGCATGTGGGTTTGTCAGGCTAGCATGACAACCTAACATGCCCTAACATACCAGCTCCCCAGCCGTCTCCGAGAGCTCAGTCCCTTTCATTCCAAATGCTCAGGCCAGACCCTGGGCATTGCCCTCAACTATCTTTCTGGTCTATCAGCACTCTCCTCCGCCCCACCTCAGAATCTCATCACTTTTCAATACCCTTGGCTACCCTGGTCTGACCTCCACCCTCAGCCCAGCACTAGCTCCTCACACTGCCGCCCTGCCCTCCTCACTTCTAGTTGATTCTCAAAACAACCACCAGCATGTCCCTGTTAAAAGCCAGGTCAGTCCATGTCCCCTCTACTCAAAATCCTCCAAAGGTTTCCATTCCCCTCAAGGTAAAATCCACAGGCCTTACTATGTGGCACACAGCCTTACATGATCCAACTCCCACCATGTCTTTGACCTCAAAACCAAATGCTCTCCTGCTGCCTCAGGGTCTTTGCATCTGCTGTTTCCTCCACAGGGAATGCTCCTCCCCCAGACAGTCATAGGACTCACTTTCTCCCTGTCTTCACTCAAAGGTGACTCAGGCCTTTCCGGTCTATCCTTCCAAAATGTCAGCTCCCACTCTAGGTCTTAATACCCTCAGTCCTGCCAGATTCTTCTTCAGGGCACCAGATCTCATGGTCTGCCTCCTCACCAGAGTGTCAGCTCTATGTGGGTAGAGAATCTCCATGAAGCATCCAAAGCACCAAAAACACTGCCTGGCACAGAGCAGGCTCTCAATAAATGTATTAAATATGTGAAAGTCCTATGAAAAGTATAAGCTGGAAGCAAACCTCATTCGAGAGTCAACAATCTAGAACCTGTGACAAAATAACAGGCTAGAAATAGCAAAGCCAGGGAGAAAAATCGAAGACAGTGCCATAAAGCACACGCACGGGGTTCAATTAAGTCCCCTGTCAGTACCGCTCAGCTTAACCTGGAGCAGGAATGTTCTCCAGCAAAATAAAAAGCCCAGACGGGCGGCCCTCTGAGCAGAGAATAACTAGAGGAACAGCAGGGAGTAACAACGAATTAATGAGGTTATCTGCTAGCAGGTACTAACTAGCAGTGTTGGGAATTTTATAGGCAAGGCCTGGAAACCAATCAGGGAAGGGCTGTAAAATGTTTAAATTAAAAAAGCCTAAGAGGATTAAATAAAAATAAGTTTTTAAAAAGCTTTCATTTACAAGTACAAAGCACTATGTAATTGCAAATTATGACTGCTGACTTTTAATTCCCTGAAGCAAAATGGAAAAATTCCTCAAGTTACCCGTGGTGCCCGAAAGGAGTCCCCAAAAGGATCCCAGATTGGTCTTCAGACACACTGAACAGGATGGCAATAGCCAACTCAGAATTTACAATATCCCAGACCTTTGGCTCCTTGAGGGCAAAAGACTGGGTTTTATTCAACAATGATTTGTTCAACAGCACCTGGCACCAAATTAGCGGATGGGCTAAGGGAAGGTTAGGCAAGGGTGCTCCTGGGACACCTGATTTCGGCAATGCTAAGGCCTCTCCCCTTTGCTTCACAAAGGCCACAGGCCATGTGGCATGAAACGTAGCAAGACCTTCTACAATATTCTAGCCAGGTACTTTCATAACCATTTCTGAAACACCCGGACATTAAAACTCAGCTTGATTAACTCTGCCACAGTCAGAAAACACAACTACCATGCAACCATATGAAAAAAAGGGGGGGAAAGTCAATATGTAAAGTTCCTGAAATAACGCTTTTCTTAAAAAGAAAAAAAAAAATCACTCCCCCTCGGAGCAAAGAAACCAAGAGAAATGCCCTGGATTTCAAAGAAAGAAGCCAGTCGCCATTTTGACAAAGGAAATGGTCTAGAAAGCAGATAGCTCATGTTCAGGCTGTCAGGTGAAACAGGTAGCCGGCTGGACACACCTGCTCATCTCCTTTAACTAACAGGTGGGCCCAGAGGACTTTCGCTGCACACCCACTGCTGTGGGCGTTTTAAAAGGCTGCTGCCCAAAAGCCATTAAATTTTGGATGAAGGAAAAGGGACCACTAGTGACAGGTTCATAAGTGATCCCGATAGAGTCAACCATAACCCCTTCCCGAATTCGGAATTTCTGAGCTGAAAGGCCCTTTATAAATCTCACCAGATTCAAACACCTTCAGGGCCATCCGGCAAAAGTCACAAGCAAAGGTGAAAAGGCAGGTGAACGCAACTGAAAATGGGGGGGGGGGGGCCCTACCCGACAGAATTCAAATACAAAAACCTAGAAATAAAAAAGCTCCGGCTACCCCTGACTCCCTGGCTCTGGTCTCTGGCTTTAGAGAGAACTGGCCGGGAGAAGTCACATGGCCAATTAATGACAGCTCAAACCAGCCTGCCTCGGGACTCCCGGTCCCCAGTCCTCCTGTGCTCGCACATCACGGGCCTCCTGTGCACACCCAGATGTCAGCAGGGACAGCATCCTCCCCCTCCCACCTTCCAGCACTGCAAGAATAAAAGTTAACAGCTCCAGCTGACTCCCCAGACCCAGAAATCCCTTTGGGGTGACTTTCTTCCACCTGCAGTTGCCCTCATTTACCCTCTGCCCGGACAATCAAGAATTTCTCATCAGTCATGCTTAAAACCCCCAGCCTGTAGGCCGAGTTCCTGTCAGCCCTCCTCCATTCAAGGGTACATCAAGGGTCAAAGGAAGGAGACAATTCTCAGCCCTTCAAGTAGGCACACTCAAAAAGGTCAATTTCTCCTTCCAGCAAGGTAGCCAACAAGGGGAATCCGCGACCCCCGGGGACCCCCGGGGAACAGGCCGGAGAGAAAGGCCCTGGGGTCGGGGCAGCAGCTTCTAAAATTACTTGGCTCAGCCTTTGTAGGAGAGAAGAAAGCAAAAAATGTACAAGGAACCCCCCACGCCGCCCTCTTGATGGCCCTGAATTCCAGGGGCGTGGGGAGGCCAGCCGCACCTCCCGGGGACGGATGAGGGGAGAGCGACCCCAGGACGCGCGTGCTGAGGGCCCGGCAGGAGGCGGCGGCGGCGGCCAGCCGGGTCCCCGGGGACCCACTTGCCTCCCCGCGGCGCGGCCTGAGGGCCCGAGCGCGCTGCGGCTCCCGCAGCGGGCAGGGTGAGAGCCCAGGGGCCGGGTCCGCTGGGGCGGCGGGGGCTGGGGGTCGCCGGGCATCCCTGCGCCCCTCGGCCAGGCTGGTCCGCGGGTGCAGGGACCCAGAGGACCGGCCGGGGCTGGAGGGGCGCAGGCCGCGCCGCGGGGCCGGTGACAGCGCTCGGGGGCCGTGCCAGGCCGGCCTCGTGGGCGCGGCGGGCACCGCGCGGCCGGGCCCGGCAGGTGCGGTTCGCCGGCCGGGCGGGGGGCGCGACAGCCCGACTCTCACCTGGCTGCAGCTCGCTGGGCTCCGGTCCTGCCGCCGCGCCTCCGCACCGCAGTGCCCGCCGCCGCCTCCGGTCCCCGCGACAGCCGCCTGCAAAATGGCGCCGCGGAGGGGCGGGCCGGGGGCGGGGAGCCGCGGAGCCGCCCGCCCCCGCGCCGGCCGGGGACCCACCTCCCTCTCCGCCCCCGACCCCCGCCCGCCGGCCTCTCCCCCCTCCCCAGGGGAGGGGCTGCCCCCTCCCACGCGGGGCCCCGGGCAGCCGGCTCTCCCCCAGCTCCCCGCAGCCGCCCCCCGCGGCGTTCCCTGCGCGCCCCCCCGCCGGTCCCTTTTAGCTCCTTCCCCTGCGTGGAAATCGCCCCCCTTCTCACGCCTTCCAGCCACACCTGCTCCTGGGGCCCACCTGGAAAGCAGAGCGCTCGCCCGGAGACTCCCCTTCCTGGCGCCCCCCTTTTACCCAATTTGACACTGAGCCCTGTCATCGCTGCGGGAAGATAATCGTGCAGTTTGCGCGGCGCGTTGGGTTGGGGGAGCCGGAGGTTTCCAGCCAATTTCACGGGGTTAGGCCGTCAGGATTTTTAACTTAACTGGAGGAGCGGTCCTCATTGCATTAGGCAGACACGGTAATACAGATCGGCATTTCTCAGACTCGACTACCCTGGGGATCGTGTTTAACTGCAGGTGGTGATTAGGCGGGTGCGGGACGAAGCTCGAGATTCTCCATTTCTCTGAAAAGCCCCTCCGCTGGGTCAGGGGCCGCTGTGCGGAGAGGCTGCAGGTAAATTTTGGCGCAAAGCAGCCCCACCTTGAGCGCTTAGGTAAGACGCACGTGGTTGGGCCCCACCCCCGGGCTGCTGGGGCCCGAGGTCTGGAGTGTGTGATGCTGATGCTGCTGTCTGAGGTCCACACTTAGCCAGCCAATCCCGAAGACTGTCTAAATGCGTGGCCAGAAACAAACAAAAAAACACTAAAAATTAGCGCTCTCAGAGCACCTTCCATCTTGAAACCACTGTGGTGGTTGCTGTTTCCACCGAGTAATAACTGACTAGTTCCCCCAAGCAACTCTCGAGAGAGCTGAAGAACCGCGGACCGTGTCTGACCTGACATGGGGAGGAGGAGATTTGTATCGTCGGAATTTTCTGCCTGTTTCACAGTTTGGGGAACTCCATGTTGTAGGTGTCATACATATTAATGAGGGGGGAGGGGTCTGACCAGCCACGGGGAATTTCATAAAATACAGGGATGTGGTCTGTGTTTTTCAGCACCGGTGTGTCATCATATTTACTTCTCTAGTAACTTGTATGTTTAAAATACAGGCGTTGGCTTGTAAAATTCTGTACAATTCTATTGTATGTTAACTATACTTGAGTTTTTTAAAAAAGGATTTTTTTTACAAAAAAATATCAGGTGTTCTGATCCTCATGGAAGATGGAAATAAGGGAAGATGATTCTGTGACCAGAAAAATTCACATTGCCTCTCCACGTAACATCCCCAGCACCCTTCTACACCAGTGAGAGCATTTTCCAGCCAACCTTGTTTTTTGGGGGTGAGGAGTTCTGGGTATTCTGCTCAGCCACGGATGTGAGATCTGGGATAGAAAAAGGAGAGCTAACTTACATCTTCAGTGTCTCTTTCTCTCTCATAGATTTTTTTCTATCCCAGAAAAACTTCCACTTTCCCAGCCTCTCTTTCTTTCCCCTCCGCCCCATCACTTCTCAGGCACTGTGACTGCCTGTCTCAGACGTCACCAGTGACCTTCTAAAGGCCAAATCCAATTGTCTGTTTAGAGCCGTTCCTTTCTACAGAGATGGCTCTGTAACCTTCCACTGACTTCTCCCTCCACCTGGAAACTTTTTCAGAGATAATACTCCTGGGTCTGGTATTTCCTACACTCTCCCCGCTTCCCTCTCCGTGATATAAGGGTTGCCCCATGTTCCCTCCAAAAAGGTTAGTTTTCACTAACCTCACTGACTCTTCCCTGGACTGTTGAAAAAGCTTCTCTCTGACCTCTTGGCTTTAAGAGTTATCTCCCAAAGCTGTCCTTGTTATCATCCCAAAACACAGAATTGACCACTTCATGCCCCTTCCTGGAAATTCTTGAGGGCCTCCCGGTCTATAGAATAACCTGGTAAAAAGAAACAGAATATTTCCCAGGACAGCATTCATGGCCCTTTGCCAGCTAGTCTCCAACTGCTTCTTTTTTTCTGGACAAAGTACCACTTTTTGCTGCTAGCAGACCGGAGTTGGTATTGGGATGACCTTGAGTTCAACCTTGTAGGGTTCTTGTGAGGATTTAATGAGATCATTTATATAAAATGCTTATTCAGTGCTTGAATTTCACATAAGTATAGCTTACGTAGTCCATATGTATCCAGGTCCTTATTTTTATATAATTATTTTTATCATCATCAACAAAAAATACAGGAATAATTTCCTATTTGTTTCATTTTCCTATTTCCTATTCATTTTCCTTTCCTATTACAGCAGATACAAACAGGGTTTTTTCTTTTTTTCTTCCCCCTTAACTTGTCTAAACTAAATCAGCATAACGTTTTGTGACCTGGATAATTTGATTGAAATTTCTGTCATTTCCAGGCTGTGTTATTTTTGAGAGGTAATTGTAGCTTGGGGCTATTCCATCTTTATACAGTGTTTTTCTTTACAATATTTATTTCTGATAACTCTCTGGAGTCTAGAACTGAGATTGGCAAACTTTCCACAAAGGGCCTGATGGTTAATGTTTTAGGCTTTGTGGGCCAAGAGACAAAATCAGGGATATTATATAGGTGGTTATAAAATGAGAGAAAATAAATTTCCACAAATTTTTTATTGATGAAATTCACAATATAACAATTGTAATTGAGTATAAGCTTTTTGTAGTACAGACCTACCCATGAGAAGAATGGAATTTGCAGGGCAGAGGGGAATAAGATTTTGCTTAATTTGAGTTCAAAGTTAGTATCTCCTGTCATCAGATCAGTCACAAATGTGCATCTGTAAAAACCATTCGTAGCTGATACAAAAAGCAGCCATGTGGTGTAGTTTGCTGACCCTTCACCTAATCCATAACGTCCTCACTTTGGGTTGTCTCCTGAGGGTAATGTAGGTCCAATATAATTCTTTTTAATGTTTATTTACTTTGAGAGAGAGAGAGCAGGGGAGAATGAACCATGAGATCATGACCCGAGCTGAAATCAGGAGTTGGACACTTAACCAACTGAGCCACACAGATACCCTAAGCCAATCTAATTTATAACAGATCTTCAATGACAGAAGAAAGGAAAGGGATGGTCATTTCAAGGACGTTTCTTCTACTCTGAGGAAATGCTTGGAACAGAGGGCTGAACGCTTCATCCAAACACCATCTCTTGGTGTCAGAGTAACAGACACTTTCTAAATCAGGCTCATATTGGGACATGCCCAAGTATGCAGCAGCCTGGTAGAGCCCAAGATCTGCCTCAATGATCTCTCTCTCTCTCTTTCACTTTTTTGAACATGTTCAGTGATGTTCATTGCAGCATTATTTCAAATAGAAAAAAAAAAACAAACCCTGCAAAACAACCCAAATGTCCGTCAACCGGGAGATAGCTGAATGAACTGTGGAATAAGCACTGTGTGGAATACCACATAGCCCTCTCACCACCCCCAGCCCCATGCTCTCTTTTTAAAATTGAGGTACAACTCACATACCATAGTATTCACCATTTAAATGTTCAGGTCAGGTGCGCCTGGGTGGCCCAGTCGGTTCAGCGTCTGACTCTTGATTTCGGCTCAGGTCACGATCTCACAGTTTATGAGATCGAGCCCTGGATCAGGCTCTGTGCTGGCAGGGTAGAGCCTGCTTGGGATTCTCTCTCCCTCTCTCTCTTTTTCTCTCTCTGCCCCTCCCCCATTCATGCTCTCTCTCAAAATAAATAAACTTAAAAAAATAAAGTGTACAGTTCAGTGGCTTTTAGTATGTTGGCAAAGCTCTACAGCCATTACCATGATGTAATTTCAGAACAATTTCATCACCCCAAAAAGAAACCCTATGCTTATGGGGCGCCTGGGTGGCTTAGTCGGTTAACCGTCCGACTTTCGGTCAGGTCATGATCTCGCGGTTCGTGGGTTCGAGCCCCGCGTCGGGCTCTGTGCTGACTGCCAGCTCAGAGCCTGGAGCCTGTTTCAGTCTGTGATTCCCTCTCTCTCTGACCCTCCCCTGCTCACGCTCTCTCTCTCTCCTAGAAATAAATATAAAAAAAAATTAAAAAAAAAAAGAAACCCTATGCTTATTATCAGCAGTCACCTCCTATTTCCCACCTCCCCCCAGCCCCTGGCAACCACTAATCTACGTTCTATTTCTATGGATTTGCCTATTCTAAACATTTAATATAAATAAAATCATATCATATGTGGTCCTTTGTGACTGGCTTGCTTCACTTAGAAAAATGTTGTCACAGTTCATCCATGTCGTAGCATGTGTCGGTATTTCATTTCTTTTTTTCATTTTGGTAAAATATCTATAACATAAAATTTACCATTTTACCCACTGAAGTGTACAGTCCAGGGGCATTAAGTGCATTCACACTGTTTTCTCACCATGATCGCTATCCACCTCCAAAACATTTTAGTTATTCCAAACTGAAACTCTCCCCATTAAGCACTCACTCCCCATGGCCCCCTGGTAACTACTATTCTACTTCCGTCTCTGTGAATTTGCCTACTCACATAAGTGGAATTGTACAATACTTGTCTTTCTGTGTCCGATTTCTTTCACTTAGAATAATGTTTTCAAGGATTGCCCTGTCGTAGCTTGTCTCAGAATCCCATGCCTTTTTAGGGAACAAGAATATGCCATTGTATGGCTATACCATAAAATGCCACCTTGACCGCCAGGCTGACCACCAGGAGAGACCTAGCTATGAGTACCGCCATCGGGGGACACAGTGTCCTGAGGGTCCCAGCAGTGGCAAGGAGTGCGGGGTGGGGATAAAATCTGCAAGAAGGCAGGAGAGACGAGCTAAGGGCGCCCTGCAGCAGGGGTCGGGACAGCACAGGAGGTCAGGCTGGGAGCAGGCAGGGCTGGCCTGAGGCGTGGGAGGGACTTGT